TAGCCTGTTTTCTATTTTTAAATCATGCTATGAAGGAATGATTAAATCAAATATAAAGTATAGAACAATTTAACGGGCTTAATAGTCTTGCAGATAAGATAGACCTGTTTCTGCTATTATCTTGCATAAGTCAATAGTGAATTGAGTTGCTTTTTAAAACACTATGTTGTTTTCAACTTCTGTTATGTTGCTCTAAAGAAATTTAAATACCATATGGCACATGCCAGTTTAGAGAACCACTGTTCTGAGAGAGACATTTTTCAAGAACATTAGTTGTGCGCTTTAAAATCAGCCTTTTAGCTACAAGTAATATTTTCTTCCTTTCTGAGGTATGTGACCCGAGTAGGGCTAAGAAGGTCCACCTTAGCTCACAAACCACGAGATCACCCGAAGAACAGTAATATTTTGCTCAGCTTCCTGAACAGTGACCTCTGTTAAGTGGCCTCTGTTAAGAGAGAATTTCAGTAGATTATAGTTTATTATATATGTATATTTATATTTTTGTACACAGATTAAGTTTATATATTTCACTTTAGAATATGTATGCTACTTATTATTAATTCCTGTCTTAAGAATTAGCATGAGCCCTGCCTGTGTGGCTCAGTCGGTTGGGCGTTGTCCCCATGCAACCAGGCTCGATTCCGGTCAGGGCACGTGCCTGGGTTGTGGGCTTGATCCCCAGTAATGGGTATGCAGGTGGCAGCTGATCTATGTCTCTCTCATCAGTTGTTTTTTTCTCTCTCTCCTTCTCCCTTCCTTTCTCTTTCTCTAAAATCAATAAAAACATATAATAAAATAATTAGCATGAATATTTGATGTTTTTCCCAATTAAACCTTTAGAAATTAACTTAAAAGTACTCATAACTTTATGTTAAATGTAAGGTTTAGTAACATAGGTCCCATTTATTTAAGGGTAATTGCTTCTATATCACCTAGGCATAAAGTTAATATAGTTTTTCTTATAACTAGTTAAACTTTTAATCTAATGTAGTCTTAATGAATTTACTTATAAATAGTACTTGATGAAGCAATAATGAAAAGCTCCCTGGGTGGGATCAATCTGTTCTTTTCCTGAGAATAATTGAACTTTATGTGAAAGTATATAAATGCATGCCTTAACTTTTTCATATATCTATGGTTTATGCAATTAAAATGTATAATTTTATTTTGTTCGATTGCATCATAAGCGTGCTTCCAAAAATCAAAGTTACTAAATTATGAAAATCACGCAATCACCATTGAATGGAAAACACCCCAAATACCAAAGAGTGTGCTTCTTGCTTTGGTTATGCTGTGTAATTCAAAATTCAAAAGTAGCCATGACTAAAATTGTTTCTCTGTGACATTTTCCTCTGTTTCCCTTTTTTTTTTTCATTCTCATTTTCCTTCCCTAGTCTTCTTTAAGCAAATAAAAATATTCTGAATTTATCCTAATTTTAGAAGCAGAGAGGAGAGGTTGGGCATAAAGAGCGATATAAATTAATGTATAAAGACAAGTTATCTCATGTTGAAATCGATACAAGAGAAGCTGACAGTCGCCACATATCCAGCCCCCCAGGCTCACTCAGGCCTCAGCTCCCTCTGTGGGAAACCCTCGTAGTTTCCACGGGGCACTAACTTCCTTAAGTGGCAGGCACCTTCTCTCTTCTTGAGAGCATTAATTGTTTAATTTTGCATCTATATGATTACTGAAAAGGTTGAACACTGTCCCATGTTGCAGTTTATTTCTTCATAAACCTTTTTATTTGCTTTTCTTTTGGTAAGAGCATTTAACATGAGAGCTGCTCTTCTAACGCATTTCTAATCGTGCAACGCATCTCGGGCCTTGCTGTGTTGTGCAGAGCTCCTGGCTTATTCAGCTTCTCAAACGCAATGTTATGCCTTTGACTGGCAGCTCCCCACTCCTCCCTCCCCCTGGCTCCTGGCAGCCACTGTTCTTTCTGAACCTTTGAGTCTGACTACTTTAGATTTCTCTTATTAGTAGACTTATGCAGTTTGGGTCTTTCTGTGGCTTATTTTACTTAGCATTACGTTTTTAAGATGCATCCATGCTGTGGTATATTTCAGCTCTTCACTCCTTTTTAAGACTAAACAGTATTACACTGTAAAGCCCATTTTCTAATATACTCATCTGCCGACGGATGTTTCTACTGTTTCCTTCTTGGCTCTTGTGAGTAGGGCTGCGATGTCCCCTGACCATCTCAGCAACTTCACATAGTGATCAAGGGTCACTCGTATTTGTTACCTAGCATGTTAATGCCATTGGTTCATGTTATTTCATGTCATAATTTAATTAACTATTGCATAATCCAATGAGTGTGAAAAGAGGTCCCCCCCCCCCATAAAAAACAAAAGAAATGCTTTGGGAGTGGATAAAAGCAAGTTGATTAAAACATACACAATATTTTGAAAAAAACGTAACGTAGGCTTCTGTATTCAGGTTGCTTTACAGGTAGCCTTGACTTTGTCCCTCCACTAAAGAAAACAGACTAGAAATCAAAGATAGTGTATGGGATTTATTTTTAAAAATTAATAAAGAATCCCAAATAGTGGATTCTTCCTCAAACAAAAGGTGGCAATTACACGTACTTAAGTCAAATACACTATTAAGTATGAGTATACCATGTTTGTGATTCTCTATTTTAATTATTTTATTTGCTTAACCAGTTAAGTAAATTTACAGATCCTTGAGTTTAAGAAGAGGACTTCTGTACTTTGTCATTTATGTGAGAGGTAAAAACAACCTAAAGAGGATCTTCCCTTTGCTAGACTGAGGCCAACTGGATTCTGCGTATGTTTCCACATCCAGATATCATTAGGAAACAAACTGCCTTCCCCGACCGGTGTGGCTTAGTGGTTGAGTGTCGACCCATGAACCAGGAGGTCACTGGATCAGTTTCTGGTCAGGACACATGCCCGGGTTGTGGGCTCGATCCCCAGTAGGGGGCATGCAGGAGGCATCCCATTGATGTTTCTCATCAATGTTTCTACCTTTTTATCCATCCCTCTTCCTCTCTAAAGTCAATAAAAACATATTTTAAAAGAAGAAAACAAACTACCTACTTGAAGAGATATGCCTGCTATTTGGATCTGCTGTATTGCCTGTAAATTTTCAAGGATTCACTCTATAAAATGAAGAAAAGAATTACTATAACATGGATGGCAAACAGGTTTCGTCTGGAAAGGCAGCTCTGTTTAATTGCTAGTGGCCACATTTGGACCTGTGCTGAGGTGAACCTTGAGTGGAATTCCCTAACCCCGTAGAGATGCAGCCCGTGGGCACAGGGTGGGGTGGAACAGTAGCACTGGGACTGCATTGTTTCCCTCACCTGGCCACTAGCCCCCTCCCTCACTTATCCGCCACTTTGCTTTCCACCATTTCAGTTACTCACAGCCTGAAATATTAAAAGGCAAATTCAAGAAGTAAAAAAATTCAGCTTTTAAATCGTTTCATTTTGATCCTGCCTTCCTGCTCTGTCCCTTTGCTCAGCATCTCATTAGTCACGTAGGAACTGTCCTGGTGATCAGATTGACTGTCATGGTTTCACAGTGTTTGTCTTTAACCTTTATTTTACTTAATAATGGACCCAATGCCATTCACATAACTTTACTACGGTATATTGTAATAATTGTTCTATTTTATTAGTAGTTATTGTTGTTAATCTCTTACTGGGCCCAATTTATAAATTAAACTTGTTCATCAGTATGTATGGATAGGAAAAACCATAGTATTATATCGGGTTCCACACCATCCACAGTTTCAGCATCCACTGGGGTTCTTGGGACAGATGACCCACAGCTAAGGAGGGACCAGTGTATCCACATTTTTTTTAGTGTTTTGCAGTCTTGTAAATGAATGGTTCTTGAAGGAGACTTGACTTGGGGTGGTGAACACGAAATATAGTGTACAGATGATGTGTTGTGAAATTGTGCACCTGAAACCTGTAGAATTTTGTGTACCAGTGTCACCCCAATAAGTTCAATAAAAAGGAAAGAATAAAAGGAAATGAATGAATTGTTCCCTACCTTATATTTCTCTTCTTTTCCTTCTGTTGGAACACTCCCGTCAGTGACATCCCTCAGCATTAGTCAGTGACTATGTAGATGAGAAAGACTGCGGACAGTTCAATCCTTTGGTCCACGCAGGCAACACGTTTGTAAGTTCACCACAAATGAGAACCGCTTCACGCGAATGAAAACCCCCAAGAATTGTTTGTGGCCCACTTCTCCAAAAACGGAGTAACTGCAGTTAGCCTTCACTAAAGAAAACCAGGCCCTAACACGTATCCCCCAAACACTGTTCTCACAATTAAGAGTCTACAGAATATGAAGGCCAGAGGGTTGGCTAGTCCTGTGATCTCCGTTTGATTTGGTGACTGGCTGCAAACCTGACTCTCTGCTGTGTCTTCACAGTTCTTCACATGGTTTTATTTTAAGAAGGCAGCCTAGCCTTCCAAGGTGAAAAATACAATAATTTCTTTACTACTTTAGTCACAAGTTTTATGGTTTTAAGTAACTGAGTAAAAAATAGTACTTTGTAGTAATCTTTAACAAATGTGGAAAACGAAATCTGACTGCATAGTGTAACTGTGGGTGGAATTTTTTCTTAGAAGATAAAATCAATAAATGTATTCTCAGTAAAGTATAATCATTGATTACTATCTTCTAAATGTTCCTTGTCACGTGTACACATAAAAGATACTGTGTACTGTACAGAAGTTAGATACTGGAGGGTGGTGATGGGATTGTGTAGATCCACACTTGTTAGGGGGAGCTTTACTTCAGGCTGATGCCTAGAATGTAATAGGCATCAGAAGTCAAAAGAATTGGAACTTTATTCATGTCATAATTATTTATTGAATGCTTACAATATACTGGCAACTACATTGCTTCTGCCATTGGGGAGTTTGCAGATATCCAAGGGACACAGACTCATATGTTGATAGTTAAAGAAACTATGTTAAAGTCCTTGTTAGGGTCATGCCCAGGCTGCAACTGAAATGTATCATAAATCCCTGTCATTTCAAATTACAAACTTGGTTTGTTCCAACATAAACAAAATTGGCTTTACTGTATGGGTAAGAAAACTTGAAATTGTTGAGAGCTTATGTTAAGTGTTAAGTGTTAACTTGTAGTCGTGACTTATCAAATTTATAACAGTAAAGCCCCATCTCTTAGAATGTGTGGTATGTGATTTCAGCACCTTAAATGGGATCAATCTTGGTTCAATTACAATTTAAAACCTGAGAGATTCTTTTCTATTTTTAATCCTCTAAATGACATCATTTATTGTCTACTGGAAATCAATGTAGGAAATCATGTTAGTCCACTAAGCACTTCAGATAAGGTGATTTCATGAAACATTCCAAGATTATCACAGGGAATTGCTCTCATATGCCATAAAAGCAGGAGAAAGAAGCAGAGCGTAGGCTGCTGAAGGAGTTTACAGTTTTACAGCTCCACCCACTGCAGCGCATAAGTCACTCAGTTACTGTTAACTTGGGGTTATCACTCACAGATCGAAAGCCTGGCAGCGCTCACACACCCCGGGCTTGTGGTGGCACTGGATGTGTGGCTCTAAGTCAATGATGAGGGTATCGGAACCGATACTGGACATGGATATGGCAAATTACAGTGAAGTTCTGGACCCAACGTATACAACCTTGGAGTTTGAAACCATGCAGATTCTGTATAATTCAAATGGTGAGTTCTCATCTGCTTGTAGATATTTTTTATAGAGTAAGTGTAGTGGAAGAAGGAAAGCCGAGCTTCCCAGGTGGTAGCTCCAGGTTTATTGCTGGAGAATTCAGGGCTGGCTTTTTAAAACCACAAATCTGGGCTCTGCACTTCATCACAAAATTTAAATTAATAATTCTGTGCCCATTTTGTGTTCGAGATTAGAAGAAGCCTAGTTATGGGTAATAAAGTAACCTCAGAATTCTGTCCCGGGCCAGTTAGGTAAAAGTGTTATTTTGTTTACTGTAAATTACAGTTGTAAGTAACATTGGCAGATTGGCAGTAAGTGTATTTTCTAGGCAATATTTGAAGTGACATATGGGACAGAGCTTCCTTAGAACACTGGAGAGTTGTCCTGGTTGCCCCCTACTTCATTATTCCAGTTCTCAATGGCTGCCAATGAGAAATTACATTGAAAATGACTATCCAGTTTTTGAATTGAACACAAATATGAAAGGAAATAAAGGTTTATATTATAACCCCACTTGACAAGCTAATGTTTAGCCTCAACAGTTCTTGGTATTTATCTAAAGTAATATTTTAACTTTAAATAAGACATGACTTGGTTAGGGCTCAGGTCTTTTTATAATACAGTTTACTATTGACTTTGAATTTATTTTTTAAGTAAAAATAGTGTTCAAGATCAGTTATAATTGATAGAACTCCTAAAATCTACTAATTATGTATAGTTGGGGAAAGAGTGTGTATATGTGTGTTTAGTTCAGGATTGAGACTGTAACTTATACTCAAGATATCTTAATGTTCTTCTATGTTGTATTATTAGTGAAATAATTTTTAAAAATTGTCAAGATGAATTCTGAAATTTTAGCACAAGGAGAGTTCAAATGAATCTATAGTGCAAATCTTAGGAAGTCCCTATTTTGGTTCCTTATGTTTAGATTTGATTAGAGATAATTAATAGAATATTATTTATGTCAGGAGAATCGTGATTTTTTAAAAGACTATATAGATTGCTAAATAGTAGGGACGAGCATACTACAAATAGTTACCAAAGCATCTGACGTTCTAAAATGTTGTCTAACTTGTTTTCTTCTAATAATGTTGTTAATAATATATAAGTATGACATTAAACTTGAAGCAAGTGTAGAATATTTTCATATTTTCATATGATCTCCCAGAAAGCTATCAATTCTAAAATACATCTAGCTGCCATATTTCTAGTATCTATTTTGCTTATGTTACTGAAAGAAAAATTCCTACATTTAAGTTCTATAATGCCAATGGTTAACCTTAAGCATATTCTTTTTTTTTTTTTAACTTAATGAAATTATACATGATAGTATCTGTCTACTCAGAAGTATTAGTAAGTAGAATATATTTGTTGTCACAGAATATGCTTGGGACATGACAACCATTCATTTAATCCTTTGTTATATTGGAGATATAATAGTGAGTTGTTATTACGCTTGTTATGCTACTTTATAAATTAAATTTTAAAGATATTACCTTATATATTCAGTATCTTTTAAGTACATATAGATTTTTTAAAACTCTATGTGATGCATTTTTTTTAAAGGTCTTTTAATTGATTTTTAGAGAGAGGGGAAGGGAGAGGGAGAGAGAGAGAAACGTCAATCAGCTGCCTCGCGCACGCCCCCTACTGGGGATTAAGCCTGCAGCCCGGGCGTGTGCCCTGGCCGGTAATCGAACCAGCAACCTTTTGGCGCATGGGGACAATGCCCAACAAACTGAGCCACCCCGGCCAGGGTGAGCCCATACATATTTTAAAGATGTAGTGAACAGCATTGACTCGCTTAAGTAAAAATACCTGTGGATTTCTAAAGCCCCTTTCTTCAAAACTGTGTATCAGATCCCACTTTATGCCCTCTAAGAGCTGGAGGAGAGAGGGGGTGGATGAGACAGATTAATTCTCTGACTTCAGGAAGTTTGTATTCTACAGACAGAGATGGATAATAAATGGGCAGACCAGTGCAGAATATAATTTTAGGCAATGAAGCAGTTATTTTTTTTTTTTTTAAAGCAGAGTTGTAGATTCTACTTGAAGGGCAGATAGGAAGTGACTATTTGGGATGTGTGTTCAGAGAATATTTCACAGAAAATGAGAGACTGGAGCAGAAATCAGATAGCCAGCTGGAAGAAAGTTTTGATGCAGAACTTTGCTTCCAGACAGAAGGAGTAGCAAGTGTAAAGGCTCTGAGATGGAAACGGACTTCAGGGGGGAAAGTGGCCACATTACTAGATGACAGTGAACAGGATGAAAAGTAGATAGTACTGGATAATGGGGTGGGAGAGGTGGGGGGGGCTCTATCCACAGAGCTTCACAGGCCAGGGTATTACCCGCTTCTAAGGGTTGGATGCAGACTAAGGTATAAGATGTGACTTTCTTGTATCAGGAGCACTGTGGGGCTTTGGAGTAATAAGCAGCAGGCCAGCAAGGGTAAAAGAGGAGAAGTTGGATAGGAGGCTCTTGCAGTGATCCCGGGGAAAGATTCTGGTCGGTTGGATAGGGTGGCCATGGGGACAGGGAGAAGAGGTATGGATTCACTGTGTATTTTAAATGGACTTTACGATTGGGTTGGGCATGAGCGACGAAGGAGAGAACCCAGTGAAGACTCGCAGGTTATTGGCCCTGGATACTGGATGGTACTATGGGCAGACACCGAAGACCAAGGAAAACATGTTCTGGGGGAAAAATCAAAGAGTTCTGTTTTTATACATTAATTTGAAATTCCTCTTGAGCTGCAGAGTAAAGTTGTTAAATAGGTATTTGGGCATGTCAGATTGGTGCCCACGGGAGCCATCAGGGCTAGAGATAAAACTGGGGGAATTTAATCACACAGATAATATTTAATGTCACAGGCCTGGATGAGCTTCCCTGGAGAGAGGGTGTAGTTGGGGGACTGAGCCCCGTAGAGCCGCAAAGTTTCATCGTCAGAAATATGAGAGGGGAGGGTGGAAGGGAGACTGGCAGGAGCGGCCAGTGGTTAAAAGGAAGCATGTTGTGGGGCCTCCAAGGAGCCAAGGACTGGATGTTTCGAGCCTGTGAGTATCTAGGGGGGTATTTAACTGGAAAGGCTCAGTACTAACTCACACTCTACTCCCCCCCCATTTCGAACAGATAGCTCTGCCCCAGAGACGACAAGTATGAATACCGCAGACAACGGTGTCAACTGCCTGTGTGCCATATGTGGGGACAGAGCGACGGGGAAGCACTATGGGGCATCCAGCTGTGACGGGTGCAAGGGCTTCTTCAGACGCAGCATACGCAAGAGTCACGTGTACTCGTGCAGGTACCGGGCATATACTCCTTTTAGGAAACTCCCCGGGGCGGGCGGTGTTCCAGGTGGCCCGGGCTGGGGACTGAAACTCGGATCTGTGCTCTGCCTGCAGCCCCGCGGGCACACTGCACGCCCCGCTGAGAGTGAGGACGGTGGGTGGGCGCAGGATGCGTCCACCGAGGTGCTTCTTTCATGCAACATCTATGAAAAATCCACATTCTTATCGTTCAGCTTAGACCAGTGCGGTTGGAGCCCAGGGCGCTGGCTTCTCCTTCCTCCCTCCCCCAGCCGTGACGCCGTCCCTCCCTGACGTTTCTTTATTGTTTTACCACATGCTCATATACCAATAGACATATTTAGATTTGCATTGAAATGGTTTCCCAGTCCTTTTAGGAATATTATTTTTTCCCCAGCATCATTACATCTGGAACAAAATTATAAAGGCACAGATGATTTTGGTAGCTTTTTGAAGTGAATGGATGAAATTAAATTTTCAGTCCTAAAATTTGAAATGTATTTCTCGTGCCACAATTTTGCCATTAAATTTAACTATCTTTTATTGTGTGTGTCCTACATTTCTAGTAGGCTGGCTTTTCTGTTTTAGTGTCTAGTCAACCTCATAGCACAATTGAGGGTTAGATAGTTCACAATGAGTGTTCAGAGTGACAGTTCTTGAGTGCAGATTATATCTGGGAAGAAGTTAATTCTTTCCCAGTGTGATGCCACTTGATTTCTAGGGGTGTGGAAAAGTTAATATATAACCCTCCAAATACCTAACTAGTATTCTCTAGTAATTTTTCCAGGAGAGCTTAGTAGGTCAAAAAATGTAAACTGTTCACTTACACCGTTTTGGTAAACAAAAAAATAATATTTAGATGGGTGTTACCTTTTACACATCAAAACTCCAAAGACAAAATGTAGACCAAGGAGATTTCCAAAATTACCAACAAAAATAAATACAAAATAACAAGTCAACAGTACTTTTTTGAGTCATGTGTTCTGTTGAAGGTGAAAGACATGGATATGAAGAATAGCAATCCAAACAACTAAATCCATCAGAAACTTTTAAGAATCAGAGACTATCAGCACAAAGAGCTTTCAAGATTCCCACCCTTCCTGTCTGGGAAAAGTGGGGAAGGAGTATTCCCATAGCAACATTTGGAAATTTAAAAAACATTTCACCAACATGTAGAGTTGACTCACCCCTTCCCATCATGAGCACTGCTACCACCTCGGCCTTTTTTACATATTTTGCTCTTCAGCAAATGCTACAATTTTCCACGTGGATGCAAGTTATAGTGATGCAAGTCTAGGATCATAAAGGTTTTTTTTTAAACTCACATTTTGTTGGTCTCAAATTTATCGACTTTATCTTAGATTTACTAATTTCCACTCTAACTGTTCCATCACACTAAAGTTGGACTTTCCCTTTCAAAGCACTTTAAATTAAATACTCAATAATTCTCATGATGTTATTTATTATGGTTATTTGTGAACTTGTATGTGTACCTTATTAGGTTATAGTGTCCTTGACTGGAGGAGAGAGATAATATTCCTCTGTTTAACCCCTATACCAGGATCTTATGCACAGTAGGTGCTTAATAAATGTTTATTTCATTTTTGCATTAATTTAATGTTAATTAAATGTGTTCTCCCGTTGTGACTATTGGTAATCTGGTCCTCTCTCCTGAGTCTCCTCAGCCATGCATTCTTAAATGTCCAATGCTTTTTTCTTCACCCAGAAAGTATGTCTCTCTTCTAGCTCATCTATACTAGGCTTTATACCCATTCAGTTTTAAGTGACCATTCATATCTTTTAGAAGAAATATCTTTTTATATAGATTACAAAATATATTATTTTATTCTTATCAGTAATAACCACAAATAATCAGGGATGTTTATATGGGTAATTTTAAGCCAGAATTTTGAAGAAATGTTATTGCTTACTATATGTTTAATATTTGTTCCAAAGTCTTTAAAGTACATTCACATAACAACCTTTTACAGCAAGTCCCTCCTATCTTACAATTGTAAATTAACTTGGGCAGTGAGGGGGGGTTGTTCAATAACATTGCTGAGTCCTGTGGAGAGTGAATGGTGGACCTGGGAATCAAGCTCCAGGCCTAAGTCCAGAGATGGTGCTTTCTTTTTTAAGTGTACAATTCAGTTTTTTTAGTATGTCCACAGAATTGCAGCCATCACTACCATCAAGTTAGAACATTCATCGCCCTATAAAGACACTTCGTACCCTTTAGCAGTCACTACCCTTCCCCACGTCTTCCTCCCCACCAGTGTTGGAAACCACTAGTCTACTCTCTCTTGCCTCTTCTGGACATTTGATATAAGTGAAATTATACAATAGGTGGCCTTTTGTGTCTGACTTCTTTCACGTAAAATAGTGTTTTCAAAGTTCATCCAGGTTGTAACCTGTATCGGTTCTCCTTTCCTGTTAATCGCTGTTTATAATGCCCATTGTGTTAGGGAACCACATTTTATGTATCTTTCCATCAACTGTCGGGCATTTGGCTTGTCCCTACCTTTGGGCTCTTATAAATAAAGCTGCTATGGATACCTGTGTGCAAGTGTTTTTGTGAACAAATGATTTCATTTCTTTTGGGTAGATACCTAGGAGTGGACTTGTTGGATCATATGGTAACTCTGTGTTTAACTGTTTAAAAAACTGCCAAACTCCCTTCCTAAGCAGCTGCAGCATTTTACCCCCAGCGCTGCGTGAGAGTTCTAGCGTGTTCTGCATCCTCAACACTTGTTTTGTCGTGTTTTTTTCCTTTTCCTGATTAGGGCCATTTTGGTCGATGTGAAATGATACCTAATTGTGCAGAGACTACTTAATGCTATTCTTGACATGTAATTTGGCATCTGTTTAGAGTGAACTTTAATTGGATGCGAGGCACATTTAAAATTAATCGAAGAATATTTATGATGAGAAAAGCATGCGAGTGCAGAGGAATGAAGTTCTGATATACTCTCCATGGCACAGAAATCCTTTAGCAACAAGCAACTGAAATTTATATGCCAAAGATTGTTAAACTAGGTTTTGCTTGCATGACTCATGATAGAAATGACCATGCACACTGGCCTTAAGTGAGATGTCCTTCAGTTTTATTTTGTTATAAAGACGGCATGAGAGGTGAGGCTTGTATGTGCTGATCGTGGTTTTATGTCAAAAATGATAGCACCAGAAAGGTTACAAATGTTCATAATACCTGTAAAAGTCAGTTAATTGTTCTTATACATGCTTCCTGTGGGGCCAAATTTGGCTGTATTTATTTAAAGTCTGTTTGTCTGTTTTTTTGCTTTTTCCTTACGTGGTTTTTCTGTAAAACTAATACATCTTTTTTTCTTTTCATATTATAGGTTCAGTCGGCAATGTGTTGTTGACAAGGACAAAAGGAACCAATGTAGATATTGTCGATTAAGAAAGTGTTTTAGAGCAGGAATGAAAAAAGAAGGTAATAATATGTAACGCACTAATGATATTTACCGTTTTTGATAAAAAGTGTTACACACGCATTCTCATTTAATCATAACAACCTTTCACGTGAGTTCTGATTTTTCTCAGTGAAGAGTTTGTGGTTCCTTGAGAATTTGACCAAGGAAACTGACACCCAGTCTTCATCGGATGGCTGCCCGATTCCAGACGCTATTCTCTTTATGACTGTGTTGTATTTGGCAGCAAAATCGTTGTCTAAATAACAGTCCAATATTCTGTTCAAAAATAGATGGTAAAATCTATTAATAGGTTGAAATTATAAATGTATTTTTAAACATATTTTACTGTCAATAAGATTGAATACCTTTATTTAATTTTTAAACATTAACTGAACATTGACTTTGCATGCATTTATTTATTTATTTAACAAATATTTATTGAGCACTGCTACTTTCCAAACACAGTTCTGGGTGCTGAGGTTTTAGTAGTTAACATAATAGAATATCCCTCCGCCTCTGGGAGCTTATATTCTATTGAGGGGCAGAGACATAGACTAGATACTCTATTTTAATGTGAGCATTTTCATTTTGAGCATATTAAATAATCTGGTTATATTATCCTACACACTAAATATGGTTCATTTAGACAGGTGGACACATTTAAATGTTTCGCAGGGAATAGTCACTCTAAGATTTTATGCTTATCACTCTTTCCACATTCTTGTGCCTGTCATATATACGCAGAGATATTTTTCAGAACTATTTCACAAACTATAAAGAAATTAATTGAATCAAATCACTATTCTTTAGAGATGGAAGGTGTATTAAACCCATCTTGAACATAGCTATTTTTTTCCTTGCCAGTGAATATTTTAAAGAGACAAAGGTTCCATAAATTTCATTCAGGTTGCCAGTCTCAAAAAGAAGTCAAATAAATGAAAGTTCACAAAATTAAATGGGAGGCGCACTTTCCTATTTAAAATTGACTTATGTCTCATGGCATATTTGGTAGTGTATGGGATTAATTACATACTTTGCCAATCATTTTCATCCGTTTCTATTTACAAATCACCACCCTCTATTTCCTTTAAGAATTTTATCCTTTGTTATATATGAATTATTTTCATAATAAAGTTATATCATCTAGTCTTCATAGAATAATACGTTAGTTTTTTCAAAATAGATTAGGAAGTAACTTTGGGTTTTAGAGTGGTTGTATTGCCCTTATTTACAGTAATATCATCATATCAAGGATAATTTATGGTGGAAACATATATAAACATGGTTTTATGTTGAAAACGATAGCAGTAGGAAGGTAACAAATGTTCACAATATATTTTAGCATTTTCCTAAAGATTGATCATGTAAGTTCAATTCATAAAAGCATAGCTCACATTTTAATTTTAATCTTTGTAAATGTATTTCATTAGTTTAGGCTGAAAGCCAGTGACAGTTTCTGTAAAAAAAATAAATTTTAAAAAGGGAGGGGTAAAGTAAGCTACCAGTAAATATGATTTTAAAATAAAAAAAGTATTTATTTTAACTTAAAATCTACTTACCCTTAAACTCAAAAAGTTCAGTATGTTCTCTTTCAAATTAATGAGTTGATAGTTAATAGTATGTTTTGGGTAGATAATAGATTTGGGAATAGAAATTAGTGAATTTTTTAAATAAAAGCATAACTGCATTAAAAATTCTGATAGTTCAATGTTTTATCTTTCTAGCAGAACAGGGTGGAGCATTAACTTAAATAAGTTAGGGGCTACAGGACTTGTTTCCATTCTTGTTGGTGAACAGAGATCCTTTTACCTCCTAAGTTTTGAAATCCAGCTTTGACATCTGACCTATGTTATTCTTTATGTGCCAAAGACACAATTTAACCCCCCTCTTACTCTTCCTTATATTTAAAACCTGGTTTTCAATAAGGGATTTGGGGAAACACATTAGGCTTTCTGCCCTTTCTGAAGAAAGTCAAGCTAGCTCTCTCTCAGAGGCCTTTTCTATAATAGGGGGGATTTCTTCACCTTTCCCAAAGGCTGAGTTTCCAACCTCAGTCCTCTCAGGAGAGACTCCTACCTGCCGCACCTTTGCCTTAACGTCTGGAAACTTTCCCAAGAAAGTTGTTTCCTAAGAGATCATGAGGTTGCGATCTTAAAATCAGCATACCTGAAAGAAGTTGACTTTCCATTTTTGCTCGTGGTTTAGGAGAATCAGAAAATGGAAGTTGGGAACTGGGCCTCCTATCTCTGGCAGTGAATACGCTCTTATCTTTGACCTGGCCAAGCGCACAGGCGAGGCTCTTCCTCCAGTTACCTCACGGTTTTATTAACTTCGAGAGACTGGAAAACCATCGCGTTGACACACAGCGTGGCTGAACTGGCTGACGCAACACTTTCTACCGTGCGTGCCATCGCCAAGTCCCAAAAGGCAGTATTTTTTGAGCATGAGTGACAAGCCTGGCCCTTTGACCTTTTAAAAGTGACACACAATGAAAAGTATCTTGGTCACACTTCTGTCCCTCCCCAGGCCTTTTAGAAATACCCCTTCTCACTTTCCGTACTTTATCTTGTGACACGTGGTGGAGGGAACCGGCCAGTAAACCTGTGGTTTTTCTCACCCAGCTGTGCAAAACGAACGCGACCGGATCAGCACTAGAAGGAGCACTTTCGACGGCAGCAACATCCCCTCCATCAACACGCTGGCGCAGGCAGAGCTCCGGTCTCGCCAGGTACTCTGCCCGGGCACCCGGCCTGCGCAGGAGGGTCCAGTGGCTGCCTGGGCCTCACGCTAAAGTAATCTAGTTCTCTCAGACAAGCTCAGTACCGAAAGAAGCCTCACTTTTGCACATGCGAGAGCTTTACTCTGAAAATAGTAGTCGGCCTGTTGACTTCGCTTTGACTTTCCCTGGACAAGTTCCTGTTTCTGAAATGGGTCGATGAAATGCGTTTCAGTGGGAGAGTGTAACAAACAACAACGACAAAGACCACATGTGTTTAATTTGTTTACAGGGTTCATTCGAAACACTGAATGCGTACTTAGCACAGTGCTCTGGGGGCAGCGGCTCTTATTGGTTGAATGTGTAAAGTCAGTTATCACAGCTTTGGGGGAGGTGGGTTGAGACCCATCGCCAGAGCTCTTTCTTCCTCCCAATGACTTCTGCACTCAAGAAGTCCCCTCTGCACCTGCTTTGGAAACAGGTATTTAAGGGAAGAGCCAGAAGAAAAAAAACACAGGGGAAAGTTTAAGTTTCTAGAGTGAGAATATCAGTTCTAAAATTTAAAAATGTAGGTCATTAGTTACCTACGTAAATAGAAATCACTGAAGAATCAAAGAAACCCTGTGAAGACAGTTTATTTTAGCATTGCTCCTATTAGAAATGTTAGTAATATTTTTCTATTATCACGCAAATTATGAAATAGCTAACTATTAATCCAGTGCCATAATGAGTCAGGACAACTACTTTCGTTTTTGATAACACAGGGTAATATGGTGAGGTTAACCTCACCGTTATCATCAGCATTACTTGCAGATTACTTGATGGTCCTATAAAGTGTTTAGAGAATGGTTTCAAGGGGAGATGTGAGGAAGGACACATGCACTACAGAAAGACACGTACACACACATGTTCAAAAATTTCAAGAAAGTTTGTAAGAACTTTCAGAAAGTGATTTCTTCAGCAGAAGGGCATTTTAACACCACTTGTATTTGTATATAGTTCAAAGTTATATATAGTTTCAAAAATTATTATAGGTTAAGCTTTGCAATGTTGCTGAGCCAAAGGTTGGCTTCTTGATTTTATTTCAGTGGGTTTCCATTCACCACAGAACATAAATCCTTTCGGCTTCTCATCTAAATCTTTTCTCTCCCCAGTTTGGTAAATTTTATCCACTGAAAACACTTTCAACAAATTAAGGATGGGCTTTCTTAATAAAAATATCGCTTTTTTAATGGAAAAGAAAATCACAGAGCATATTTCATTAGATACTCTGTTATTCCTTTATAAAGTCATTTTGGATTATGAAACTCCCCTAAAGTTGGGTAACTTACTCTACAGATGTGGCCAGTAAAACAAGATAGTGCTCCCACAGCAAGTGCTATGCAGGGAATGGTTTCAGTTGAACTTGTACTGACAGGTATTTCATATCTCAATTTAAAAATATTTGGTATATTTCAAGATACTGTGACAATGATACTGCTGCTTCAGTGGTGTTTATTGTTGCATTCATCAAGAAAAGAGGAGATTTGGTTACGTATTATTTTAAATGAGAGATTAATATAATGTTCACATTCATGCTAGATTTCAGCTTCAAGCCCTGGTGCAAGCACGGACATAAATGTTAAGAAAATTGCCAACATTGGTGATGTCTGTGAATCCATGAAACAGCAGCTCTTGGTCTTGGTGGAATGGGCGAAATATATTCCTGCGTTCTGCGAGTTGCCCCTGGATGATCAGGTACAAGTTAAAAAAATTCTGAATGCTTTAAAAAAAATGTTTTTTGAACTTTGCCCAGTTTTTGTGTTCTTTTAATTATATTTATAATAGGTTTACCATATTTGACAAAGGTGAAATGATCTCATGAGAAAAAGATTGGTTTTCTTGTCCATTCACCTCCTTGTTCTATCCAGAGGCACAGCTGTTTAACTTCTCTGTTCTAAGTATTGCGTATTTATTGATTGGATGAAGTTGAGCAAAAACTGTTCTTCCTTCTTGGAGTGTAAAAAGCTTAAGTGATGGAGAAAGACAGATAGCCAGTAACTGCCATTGTGAGACAAGGGCCTGGCAGAGCAAACGTCTGGGAGGCAAATGGTGCACCATTGTGTCTGGGTGTTTACTGAAGGTGCCTGTGAAATTTCTCAAAAATGCCAGACCACTCCTAGAGAAAACCATGTGTATTTGTGGGCAATTTGTGCAATTAGCATAAAATTTTGCCTTGCATGTTGACAATTTTAGTCTAGCATTACTGTATACTAATTATATGTCTGGCAATAAAAAGTCTGTAGAATCATGCACTGAAAACTTCAGAGAAATCGAGAAAATTCAGTAAAATGATCTTGTCCTAATACATATATTGTCAGACTTTGTCATACATACATGAAGACATTTTAATTAATATTTAAGAACTTTAACTTCTTAACTGGTCTATGAAGATTAGATTATTAGTTTCAGATTTGTTTTTAACTCTTCCAAGTGGTGTATAATATCTTATAGATGTAAATAATTTGAAAATTTCCAATTCCTGCACATGACATGTATCATACCCAGTATGTGTCTTACATTCTCGGACCAGTGTTCTTTATCATGGACACACGAGGACAAAGAAACAATAAAAGGGATAGGTACAACTGTTTAAAATTCAAAGAAAAACAAAATATTTGTACACTCAGGGAAAAAAAGTGATTGTAGGAAGTTTAGCTACATTTCCAGGAGAGCAATTCACTGGGTGACAAAGAAAATCTTGTGAAATCTGAAATCATTCTCAAAATGTTCTGTAACTGCCTTCCTGTTATGAGTCACGGTTATTGACATGTCATAAAGATAGCTTGGCTCAGAAGGTTATTTCAGAGTGAAAAATGCTAAATTGCTAAAACTACTTGTCTCACCCCAAGCCATATAAGTAGGGTTATGTTATTTATCAGTTTTATATTTTTACTATCGCTCCTCTTTAAAAGTTGCTGACTTAAATATGAAGATAGTGATTTAAAAATTGGGAAATTGAATTCCCATAACCTGTCAAAAACATTTTTATTTACTAGTTCTGACTTTAATATTAACAATATCACATTAATAGCCATGGCTTACTGAATGTCTGTTATGGGTAAGGCACTGGGGAGCTAGCTTTCAGTTGCATTATACATTCGGTTATTTTACTTAATGCTCTCAGGAGCTTTGGGTCATAAGTTTTATAATCCCCGCTTAACAGTTTTTAAAACTGAACCCTAAATCAGTCAAATTCACTCAGTAAATTCACCCAAAAATATTTATTAGGACTACTGTTCGGTTTTAGGAACTGTGAGCATTGGGCAGTAAAAGTTCAGATGGAGTCACTTTTCTCATAAAGTTTACCTACTATTTGGGAGAGACAGACAATAAAAGATACACAGGATGATAAGTTGATTCTAGGTGGGGGTAGTTCTGTAAAATGAAATGGGATGAATTATTGGACAATGACTAGGGGTGAAGTGGTAACAGATACTTTAAATTGGGGATCAGAGAAGATTTCCCCGAGACCTGAATGACAAGAGGCTAATCACACCAAGGTCGAGGAGGAAGAAAGCATTCTGGGTCCAGGAACTGCACTTTCAAAGACCTGGAGGCCGCAGGGAGAATGGGCCTGGAGAAAAGTCAGCCAGGCATGTTGCAAGGTAGAACCAGACACGTGCGTGGGGGACGAAGCATTGAGCTATGACCTGTGAGGCCTTGGTGAAGCAGCTTGGATGTTATTCTAGGGACAATAAGAAACCAGTGAAGAGTTTTCAGCAGAGGAGTGATATGAAGTGATTATTGTTTTACAAATATCATCTTGGAAGCTCTGTCAAGAAGCATTTAGCATGGGGGAACCAGGAGAGAAGCAGGAATACCTGTTAGGTCCTTGCAGTATATTGTGGAGACCAGCAGAGAAAGGCAAAGGCTTGGGCCAGGGTGCTGCAGGATTTGCTGGGTCTTTAGAAAAGAATCATCGCGGAATCCTGTTTTTGTTGTGAACAAGCATGTTGGATGATGATGAAGATGTTGGAGAAGTGTTCCATTTTGAAATGCTTCCTGTTATCTCCAATGATTCTCAGCAAGCAATGGAGTATATGCATGAAGCTCAGTCGAGAGCTTAGTGCAAGGAGTTACGGGTTCAGCCTTGAGTGAGTTAGAGCCCAGATTCCCCATTCTCACTCCACCATGTCACAGGTCCTCCCTTTGCTCTCCTTTATTCAGTTTATAATGTAAAGAGATTGTGTTTTACACATATTTTCTCATGTAGTCCTCACATTGACAGTTTGAAATTTTAATCATGGTCTCCACTTGGTAGATGAAAACGAATGAGGCCCAGACACAAGTGGTTGGTGTGCCCAAGGTGAAATAGGTAGTAAGAGGCCACGCCAGAATTTGAACCCTGCTTTGTTTGGTTTTATTTCATCCCAGAACACTTAATTGTTCTGTTGGTCTTTTTGTTTGTTGTGTATTTGCTGACAGTGTATTGACTCATTAGTTTTAGAAATTTTGAAAAGTAAAACTCTATGACATTTTAAAATAGAAAAATAGAAGGCTTGATGATGGCAACTATCTATGAATATTATAATTTCTTAAAACAAAAAAAACATGTCCCAGGCTTAAAGAACACGAAGTTAGTCAGACTTATATAATATCACCATTTAATCATCATATTTTATAATTAATTGTTCAACTTGGAATTTTTCATTAAGGTGGCTCTGCTGAGAGCTCATGCAGGGGAACATTTACTGCTTGGAGCTACAAAGAGATCCATGGTGTATAAAGATATTTTGCTTTTGGGTGAGTTTTTTTTTTTTTTAATTAAGAAATTATGCATGCTTTGTTCTTATACAGGGTCTATTCTGTATGTACCAAGCATTCCTAGACACTGAAAAATGGTGCTCTCACTTCACAGATTGGATTTAATTGATCATATCCTCACTCAGGTCCTGTTTTTCCTTGCTTTGATTGCAGGAAGTTCAGAGTGCATTGAGATTTAAAAGGAAAAGGAAATGTTGCTCAGTGAACAGAATCTCGAGGTCTATTTAAACTGTCAGGACAAAGAACTAGTGATTTGTGTGACCATCTTATGGAATCTCAGTGTTGTCTTGCACTCCTCTGTGTCTACTTAATAATTGTAATATATGCTATTGGATACATTTTTAATGAGCCCGTGTATCTCCTGTGATGTCATTGCCCATGATATGCTACAAAATCCCAACTTAAAAGAAATTTGGTGACAGTGTCTGAAAAATTCTGATAACTCAGTAACAGTGCCAAAAGAGGCAGAAGAAGTGGCGGGTAGAAGGAAAGGTGGGTGGGGAAGAGAAGACACAAAGAAAAACTTTTGTTCTCATTAAGTCTGCAATCCCCCCACTCAATTTAACTTATAAAATTAGGTTTCCTATTGAAACAGTTAAGATCCCTCTAATACTTATTAGCTCTACCTCTCCCTGGCATGTATGAAATAACTAAATTATTTATTCTACTTATGTGATATTTTATCTAAAAAACATGAATAAACATAATATAATAATATCTAATATTTATCAGCGCTTACTATGTAACATGCATTGTTCTAAGTACCTTTTTAAAAAAATATATATATATTGATTTCAGAGAGAGGAAGGGAGAGGGAGAGAGAGAGATGAAGCGTCAAGGATGAGAGAGTCATTGATCGGCTGCCTCCTGCATGTCTCTGACTGGGGAATCGAGCCCGCTACCTGGACATGTGCCCTGACCCGGTATTGAACCGTGATCTCCTGGATCCTAGGTCGATGCTCAACCGCTGAGCCACCACGCCCGGCCGGGCAGTACTTTTTTATATGTATATCAACACTATCTCATTTAATCCTCATGATAACCCTAAGGGATAGGTGCTGTTATTTTCAGCCCATTTTTCAGGTTGAGAAATGGAGGCTGAGAAAGTTTAGCAGAGGTCACAAGATTAGCAAGGGACAGAGCCAGGATTCTAAACCACATAATGTGACTGCAGGGACGATGCTCTCAAATTCTATTAAACACTCTGTTGCATTTAGAGGACGCTACAGAACCATTCTCATTAGGCTTGTTAAAAGATGTCTCCATTGTAGTTACACCCGCATATACCCACACCGCTCAAGAATGGTGTTTTTAATCCACTGTAAGCCACAAAGATTCTTTAGGTTTTGAATTAAGCTCATTAATGAGTAAGACACTAGTAGAAAACTGACAGCAGAAAGCTAATCATTATACTTTGCTTCTCCCTTGTCAATTATTAGCTTGTTTATTAGCCTGTACTTTAGTGTTATCACCAGTGACCGAGGCTGTTAAAATGCATGTGATCACATTATCAATGTTATTGATCCTTTAAGTGTTCTCAAGTTTTTCTAACCTGACACTACCGAGAGCAGAAGTACTATTACCATTTCTGCAAGGGAAGGCCAATTAAACATTGGTTTGGAAAAATTTAAGCAGTATCTGATACACTCGGGGGAGAGGATGACTGTTATTATTCTTCCCCCTAGGAAACAACTACATTATCCAGCGCAACAGCTGTGAGGTGGAGATCAGCCGCGTGGCCAACCGGGTCCTAGACGAGCTGGTCCGGCCGTTTCAGGAAATTCAGATTGATGACAACGAATACGCTTGTTTGAAGGCCATTGTATTTTTTGATCCAGGTTTGTTCCCAAAGACCCGTGACAAAGTCACGGTGAAAATAAAGCTACTGTTTAATATTGGAATATTTGCCGTCACACGCTGTTCAGATCGCCCCTTTGGGCTGCCCCTGTTCCCTCGGCAGATGCGAAAGGGCTGAGCGACCCCATGAAGATCAAGAACATGCGGTTCCAGGTGCAGCTGAGCCTGGAGGACTACATCAACGACCGGCAGTACGACTCGCGCGGCCGCTTCGGCGAGCTGCTGCTGCTGCTGCCCACGCTGCAGAGCATCACCTGGCAGATGATCGAGCAGGTCCAGTTCGTCAAGCTCTTCGGGGTGGTCAAGATCGACAACCTGCTGCAGGAGATGCTGCTGGGCGGTGAGTCTGCCGCGCCGGTGGGCGCCCTCTGTGCGCTTCAGCGCAAGCTTGACCCTTCTGTTTTCTGTCCGTGACACAATGAACTCAATTTTCTTACACTGGAAAATTCTCAGGACCCGTTGGATGGGCACAGAATCCTTGAACGTATTCAAATCCCGTTCTTACCAGTCTCCACCGTCTAACTCCACATGGTCCCTCTAACCTTAATTTTCAGGTCCTTCAAATGTGGCAGCTAGAAATATATTTCCTATTTTCAATACTCCTTGAAGTATAATTATATTTTTCTATGCCTTTACTCCTTGTAAGGCTCAAGGATATCAGAATTGCACACTAATCTAAATATATATATGTGTGTGTGTGTAGTAAATATCATGAAAATGGACACTTTGCTCCTGAAATAATTAATTGACACAACACAATGAGAAGGAAAAATGAGATGTCATTACTGCAGTAAATGTCAGGAATAAGTTGGGAAAGCATTTATTCTGTGTTCTGATCTAGATTAAATTTCCTGATAAAATCACTTTATTTTATTTTTAGTTTTCTGGTACTTAATGTGTTCCTAATGATATCTTCCTGAAATAAAAGTTGTTTATGCTATTAGCGTGACCCCGAATACTATAAACTTGAGGTAAGTGATTCTTGGAATTGCCTTAACAACAGGCAGCCACCCTAATGATTCCAGGAAACGGCACACAAGGTCCATTATTAATATACAGCATAATATGATACAACATTCATCTAGGAGTGTACAGCGAAAGCTGACATTGTCCTTAATATGGCAGTGGTTCTATTAATTTATTTTTGAACTCCCCAAAGGCACTTTGCAAAAATAGCAATATTCAAGCTGTCAGTCAAAACATTTGTTCCCAGGTAAACTCGCCATTTCTGATTAAATATCACTGATGCAGCCGTTTTTTTATCTTCTGTAGGTGCTTCCAATGATGTCAGCCATCTCCATCACCCGATGCATCCACATTTGTCTCAGGACCCATTAACTGGACAAACCGTACTTTTAGGCCCCATGTCAACACTGGTTCACACGGACCAGATCTGTAAGTATCTCGGCTACTTTTCAAGCCTAATATGTCCTAAACTTAATTACCTAAGGAAAAAGAGAATTTGGGGAAAGCATCTATTCATATCTGGACACTGCAAGATTTGGGTGCATTGTTCTCCCCAGGGCTCGGCTGTGGGAGACTGTGACATTCAACGGTCACTTACTCTCCGTAGGCAGGAGCTTGCTCCCTGAAATGGAGATAAGAGAACCTCAATCTTCCTACTTCCTAGGGTGGGGAGCAGAAAAGTATGTTCAGGCCGCCCTCACCTTGCTAGTCACAGAAATGACTATTCAGACTGGAGCCAAGCAAAGAAACCCGGGTAATCAATGGAAAATTACAGTTTCTTGTGACCTGTAAAAATGTTTGTCATATCGTGTTATATGGCAATTATACCTCAGTAAAATCAAACAAAAATACTTGTCAAAACATTAAGAACCCTCTTAACTATACATTATAGAAATATAGGGAAGTTTGAAAAATGAAGTAAATTAAAAATACATAGGGAAGTTGAAAAGTATAGTAATTCTAATATTTATTTTGTGCACCATCATTTAAAACATCAGAAACAGTGAGAAGTAAAGTGTTTTATTTCTTTGTAAAAGTATTTAAGAAGCACACTTTGAACAGGGTTTTCGCTTCCTCCCCTGTAACTGTTGGAAGGAAGCGAGGATCTCTTCTGTGCCTTGATGAATGTCACTCTTTTGAAGTTTGGGTCAGCTTCCAACATTTTACCCTTTGAATTTTCTTTTGTATTCTCATTTTATTTATTTTTTAATTACAGTTTACATTTAATATTATTTTGTCTTTAGTTTCATGTGTACAACATAGTGGTTAAACAATCATATACTTTACAAAGTGCTTCCCCTGATATTTCCAGTACTCGCCCGGCACCATCCATAGTTATCACAATATTATTGACCATATCTCCCATCCTGTATCCTTTGCATTTTCAGTGTGCTGAAACATCTCTGAATCCATTTAATGTGAAATTTTTGCCCATGTCTTCTTTTGGGGCATCATTGTCCTTCACAACACAGCCAGACACCTCACTTACGCTGAACGCTGACAGTGTCCTTCACTCAGTTCCTGGCTGCATATTTAGGGGCTCAAACAGCAGTCATGTCCACATTCCCATGATCAGCTATCTTCTGTAACTCCATTTATGTGCGATTTGAATTTTGATCCTAGGATTATCACTTTTTGTTTCTTTGCTGCACTTTAATCGCTTTTAGCCAATTCTCTTTCAATTATATAATTTTGTAAAATGTCACGTGGATTTATCACTGGGAGACAAGAGGCAACTCAAGTACACACTTTGTTGTCAGTGTGTGAATTGAACAAAATATGTTCTAATGTCAATAAAATATGGGCAGAATGAAAGATGTGATGCAATGGGACATCTGTTACTTCGGTACTTGTCGGAGACTGAAGCGCTAGCAGTGAAGTTAATGTTACGAGGTACTCACAGTTGACTGCGAGTTACCATGCTAACCGAAACTTCACCATGCTTTTGCAGGACTGGTGCCATTAACTGTGATGACTGAGATTCAGATTCGTGCACATTAGAACTGTGCACAGTGAGGGCAGCTGGGGAAAAGCCTTTGAAACTAAAATGGTTATATAAATACTAGGGGTTGTGGGTGGCTAAGTTAATCTGATATGATTGTAGATTTAACACAAATTCTATTTCTATAAGCTATCCTGGAGATAATCTCTATTTGACCAAATATGAAGAATTAATTGCCTCTGAATTGATACAAATTAACCCCAGGTTTACCTTTGATCTGTCGCCTCTGAGCACTAAGCCAGCTCCTTCACTGGAGTTACTGGGATGTAATTATCATGCATACCTGTATCACCTGCTGAATTGACAATAGCCATTAATAGCTAATTACAGTGTTTTACCTAAACGACCAATGTACTGTAACAACTTAGTGAGTACCACCTGACTGCTACCTAGTGGCTGGGAAAGTAGAGGCCACAAAAATGCATGCTCTCAGGTCTCCCCATTAGTACAAGCAGTACAAGCGTCGGTAGACCTATGTGTCAGTTGTGTCTGAAACACAAACTTATTTGAGTATATGACAGAGGTGGAAATTTAATTGTTAGAAAAAATTGCATATTTTGGAGATACTGTGGCACATTTAACCTGTGGATCCCGGTGTACTGGAAAAACATTCTTTTGGGACCATCCTTGCAAAGCAGATGTTACTATTTTCATGTAATAGGTTGTCCAGAGCAGAGAGAGGCAATCCTAGTATCACACCAAAATGCCGTGGAGCTGTGTCTCTTAAAGCTCAGTTATTCATAAACCCAGAAAATAAAACACATTAACAACACATTAAGCATTATAGGCATCAGCTGGCAAGAAGGTTGAACAATTCTGCTGGCGGTTGAATCCTTTACTTTTTAAATGCCAGTTTCTAGTACTTTAAAAGCGTGCTTGTTGACCCTGATCTTTTTAGAATCTCATCATCACACTTTCTCATTTTTTCCCCTCTTTCAACACAGTATTTATAACAATCATTTGTAAAAGAAAACTCTGCTTTGTTTGTTCTCATTTAGAATAGTTTATTTTTTATCCAAAACAAAACAAACACATACAAACAAAAACTTTTTTGTGCATATTTTCTTGGTCTTTTAGAGCAAGCCTCTCCAGTTTCAGATCCATCCTAAATATCCCAAAATAATTTTTAAAGCAATTTGTTCATTCCTTTGTCAATTAAATGATCTCAAGCTCTTGTTCCTAAGTAATTGCTAATCCATACTTAACAACGCCAAAGTTATTATAGAGGGAAAAACCAAGCAAAAAGGGACTATTCTCATTTTTCTACAGACTTTTTTTTTTTAGAATTTTAAAATGTTTTGGAGAAAAAAAATGTATAAAGTTTGCAAAGCTTTAGTCTCATCATCAAATGTTTTCTACTCTGTTAAATACATGGAATAATAATAAATGTGAGTACTAAAGTACTTTAAGTTTTTAAAAATTATAGAATAGTTCCTAGATTATTTTGCAATATGATACAGAGTTTGTAATGGGAGGAAACACTAGTCTAGATAGTGAAATATTCAAACTAACTTTTTTCCAATTAATAGATTTGCTCTTTGCATTGACGGGGAAGTAACAGACAAGGTCATTCATAACAAAATAATTTTGACATGACAAAGTCAGTATTTTTCAGGTGCCTTTAAGTACAACATAGATTTCAAAACACTTGAAAAGTATCCTACCTTCATTATTTTAAATGTCATCTAATATGTTTGAGTTAGTGGAAGCCAAGCCAAATATATTTTATTTTATGTGCATTTTTTATTGTAAAATTTATAACACTTGCGATCTAAGATTTGAAAAAAACACTAGCATTCTGTTCATTCTTTTCATTGATTTTTTTCCTGCTGGGTGCGTGAGAGACTCAAATGCTCACAAATGCTGTGAAGAAAGGCAGACAACACCTTAAAAGGACTCTTAAGGTTTTCAAGAATGATCTGGTCCAATATAAATCTATTTGGCGAGGTAGGGTAAGGGTGCATCTCCGGTGGTACGTCAGTGAGATGACAGTGTCTTATATAAACCATTACTTTATATATGATCTTTAAAAACACACCCAAAGTAAAATACTGCGTATTGGTGTCGTGCAGGACTTAATGGGATGATGGGTCAGGGTGACTGTCGCCATCACGTACAATTCTCTGATTCTTTTCTAGCAACGCCTGAAACCCCGCTCCCTTCCCCACCACAAGGCTCTGGACAAGAACAATACAAAATAGCTGCAAACCAAGCTTCCGTCATTTCACACCAGCCTCTCTCCAAACAAAAGCAGTTGTGAGGACGTTTACTTCTGAGCAGCACTGCACAATGTGAAAAATTACTGGTCTTGAAATATCTCAGGATAGTGCTTTTGGCAAACTCTTAGCCAAGGCCTCTTCATGGTGCTGTTGTAAGATGGTGACCTGTTTTCTCGTTTTTATGCTCTTTTTGTTTGTTGTTGCTATTGTCTGAAACCTTCAGCCGCAACCACTGTATGTCTGCGTTTTGATACGTTTATACCATATGATTTTTCCAGCTTCCTTAGCGCCGCGCCTTAAGCAGTTGAATCTTATGTATACTTCCATTTGTTGCCTTAATATTAATTTAAATCTGTAAATAATTGCTTCAGGGTGATGTTATGCAGAACTCAGTGTTGTCTTTTGACTGAGAATATTAGATCAGAAATCCCAGATTAATATACAATGAACCACGTCTGTAATAAATTTTAAACTTGCAAATTAGAAAAAATAAAGCAGTTGCTGTAGAATAAGGCATAGATCTTTGAACAACAATCCCTTATGGATACCCTGTGGCTAAGAAGCGTCTTTTTGACTCACATTTAAAAGTGCCTATTTTAAGTTTAGAAAAATACAAACAGCCATTCCAAGGATAACTGCATATCTTTTCAAATCTGACTGTATGTGAAGAGGTATGGTAAGATAAAAGGTTTTAGTTTTAGCAGATAGGTTACAGGCAAAAGTGTAAAAAAGAAATCCCTGACAGTGGCTCAACCAAGAGAGATGTTTATTTCTCTATCCTGAAAAAACCTGGAAATCATCATCAGTTGACCAGGACTTGGCGCATGCCCACCTCTAATGCCCAGGGATGCCAGGGGAGCAGGGAGGAAGCCATGTGCCAACCAAAGCTACAGCTCTGAGAGACGAACACTGGGAGACAAATTAGCCACCCATCCATCACACATTGCTGCCTCATGCAGTCCTGACAACATCCTGTAAGAGAGGTGCTATTATTTTTCTGTTATAACTAAAGAAACCTTTAGCTTAGGGGGTATAAGTAATGTAACCAGAGTTCACAAACCCGAAGAGTTGTAGGAGAGCCACATTTAAGCCCAGGTCTGGTTGACTTTCATGAGAATAAATATATCTTTGGTGTGGGTTGAAAGATGTGAGCTTTTTGCTGTGGTTTTAAAATATATGCAGTTGATTGTTGATGGAATACTCTCGGTCATGTTACCTATTACACATATTTACATGTAGGTAGTGAGTCTCAAATTGTTGCAGCATCATAAGAAACCACTTTTGTACTTAGAATTAAAGTCTTACCCCTAAAATAATCTTTTAAACAAATTTAAGAAAATAAAAGATACACCAGATGGGTTAGCATGAAAACAAAATTTCCTAATTTATCAGGTTTTCAAAAATCCAGCAACCCTGGGATACACTGAATGCCTAATTCTGGACTGAGTACAGTTCATTGGAGCCCGAAACTATTTGATATCTAAACCAAGAGCTTATTTAAAAACAATTAATGAAGGGTTGTCTTGTGAAACAGTGACCTCTCTCTCTCTCTCTCCATCCCTTCCTCTCTCCCTCTATCTGCCCCCCCTTTCATGCTGATAACAACTATTTGAATAATTACCAATGGTATAAAGAAGTATTCCAAGCTGTAAGAGACTGATTTACACGATATTTTCAGGACCTTTCAAAATTTCTAAGATTATGATCTTAGAACCCCCACTTACCCTACAAATAAAAAGGTTCAGTAAACATTAACTAACTTATTGGCTCTTAAAGTGAAATTGACCTCTTAAAGCAGAAAATGATTACTTAGAAGCCATCATTGATTAAATAGAATCAATCAGTTCTTTCAAAAGCTGGTATCTTTGTGTAACTGAAATCTTTGGGAGAGAGAGTAAGAAAAGAGGAAAGTTTTTAACTTACATTTTTTGAAAATTTACTTTGGTGTCTCTATGTCATGAGTAAGAATGTTTTCGATTTTTATAAATACAAATATTGTTGGTAGATTTCTGCTTACTTTTTATGTTGTTCTCTTAGAAGGTATTAAAAAACTTTAAAACATAAAACAAATTCATATTAGTAAACCCTTTAACTTATCTGCATATATTTACTAAGCAGTTATGTCTTACAAATTATTACCAACAATTTTGTTTTAGTAACCGTAGTCAGGGAATTTGTAATATATTTTTGTATACCTAACTGCCAACAATGCTGGATGAGAGGAACTGATGTTTTCAAAATATTGATAAAGCTATTGCTTTTATATGGCACAAAACTTTTTCATGTAATAAAATGGAATAATTTATTGTGAAATAATGATTCATTTTATAAGTATAAAATTATTTTTATAAATTTTATTGTTGAAATCAAAAATTACTAGATTTTTAAAAATGTTAAATTATAGTGAGATTAAAATATTTCTAAACTGTGATACCATGATGTTTCACTGAACTTTCTAAATAAAAATTGAGAAAAAAACTGAAATGGGAGTGCTTCATTATTGTTCAAAAATGATTTTATAATTGTAGAGATAATGCTAATTATCTTTTGTATGGTCATTCAGTTAAATTTACACAGAGTTCAATAGTACTGGTGTTTAGAGGCCAGAGCAAAATTAAGTAGCGCATTTCCAAATAGTCATAGAATTAGATACTGATTGAAGGGACAATCCTCACATTTGTGTGTTAATTACATACTTTTGCTTGCTTTATAGTTTTGTCACAGTAATGAAAACATGTGGCCCCAGCTGTCTTCAGCATTGTATAGGTATTCTTGGCACAGACATTTGTAATCTCAGTGTTTCCCTTCTGTTATTTTCTGTTCATATTGAAAGGTTCTTTGTAAAACTTCTTAAAATTTGAGGACCAGTAATTTTTTATAAAATTCTAATTTTTATTTTATTTCTACTTTTATGAGGGTAATGTATGTACATCGTTTAAAAACATAATTATGCTTAAAGTCTAAAGGGCAAAGTTTCAGTTCTTCACCTCAACCATTCCCTTCCTCGCACATCCTGCCCTTCAGTAACAACACTCAAATATTGCATCCGCTTTACGTGGTGTTTCTGTCCATAGTTTGAAAGTATATGTTTATATCACATTAAAATTTTTTTTTTTTTTAGTTTTAGACCTTATCTGTATACAGACACTCAACCTCCACCACAATCTCCCAATTTCTTAATACATCAATACCTTTACTTACTTAGTAGTTGCTGTTTAAATAACTGCAAAGGGCTTGGTGTGGGAGGCTCAGAGCCCAGGAAGGAAGGTCTAGGTCATTCCATCAGGCAAGCCTCTGAGAGGGCAGAGGCTCGGCCGAGGGCGAGGAGACTCTAGGTTAGATTCTAGAAGAATGAGGGAATCACCCCTTACGGCCTCGAGTCCAGCTTCACTGTTGGGCCGTCCAGTCTGTGCCACTCACCCTCCTCATTGTCTCCCAGAGAAGCAGCTCGCGGGAGTCACGGGGGGGGGCTGCTGCCCAGGTCACTGGGATGACACGCCTCCGAGTGCGAGGCGCAGGCTCCTGTCGCAGGCAGCGCCCTGGATGGAAGGATCTGCTGCACCCTCGGATCTACTGAACCCTCGGCGGGCGGGCACCTCGGGGAGCTGCCTTCCCTTGAAAGCCACCCGCCCGTCCCCGCGCCCCTTTCTGGATGTCGCCTGCATCCCAGGACTGGGCCGTGCGGGAACACAGAGGCTTGGCCTTAGCCACCTCCCCCCAACTCAGGGCTGCTCTGAAGGGCCATCCCCCTTTCAGACATAAATAAAAAAGCTGGCCAGATAGGATTTGCAGTTAGAAAGTGTTATTGTAGTAAAGGATTTTGTGATGTAAGAGACCAGCTGACAAATTTCGAGCTTCCCCTTTTCCACAGGCTATTTCTTCTGGTGGGCCTTTTCTTCCATCTCCTAGTGTCCCCCTTCTTGAGTTACCATATCACCTTCACCCTTCTGTGGACACTTTTACAACCTTCTCAGGTAAAATTAAGGACTTCCTCATGTGTCCCCCTGTTGGTTATATGCACTTCTATTTACAGAATTTATTTCTATATTTTCATTATCACTTAGTGCCAATTAGAGTGAACCCCAGGAGAGCAGGTACCACGTTGGGTACATTTTTGAATTCCCAAGATTCAACAGAATTCCTAGCAATTAATAGGTGATCAATAGCGATTTCTCAATTAGACAAGAGATTAATCACTACCATGAATTGCTTTTTTGTTAGTAAAGCTCAGGAAGGAAAAAGATTAAAATAATATATTTATTTATTCAATTGATTGTTTTTAGATTATGGTAACTATTTTATCAAGACAATCAGTTTATCATATTTTTAAAAATGAAAATAGTTAGACAGTTTTTAGTAAGGAAAACATTATTATTAGTCCCTATCTGTATTATTAACTTTTTTCTCATAGATGTTTTTAAGACAGATTTTATCAACTTCTTTTTCATAGTTTAAAGTATAAACTTTGTTAAAAAGATCTTTTGCAGCACAAAATGTTTTATATTTTTATGGCAAAAGCAGCATCAAAACTTAAAGGCATTTTTCTCATGTTAGGCCTTTGTGTTCGTTTAATCCGAATGTGATTCTCGCAAGTCATTCTCATATTTGACATCAGGGTCAGAATCAGGTTAGTAGATACAATTACAATATTACCTGCTTATTATTTTTTTATGCTATGGAATAGCATGGATTTAATACACTGATAACTTAGAATAGTAAAGCCCATTCACGTTAAGATAATGACAGTCAAAGACAGAAAATAAAATTGTTATATTATTGATTATTCATGTCATTGGTGCCTTTGCACTGTATAATAATTCCATTTAAAGATAATTGCAAAGATCTAATGTGTAGTTATCTGGTAGATAAATAAGATCAGAAACACAGATTAAAACCTGTAATGGTGTTTAGAACTACAGTGATCTCAGCCTGGAGTTGGACAGGTCTATCCAAAGAAAAAGCTGAAATCTAACGGCATCACAAGACACGTAAGTGGACAGGATGCTAGCAGCATAATTAAACTATTACGCTATAGAACCGCCTCATCTTTTTACAAACATACAGAAAATATTTTTACAATAAAAACACCTTGGTAATTCCAGAATAAAAATTAAGGGAAATTTCAATACTAGCATATTTATAATAGCTGTACAATTATTTGCAGGTTCTTCCTGAGTATCGATTTCTCTCTCTTTAAACAAGCAAACAAAAGAATAATTATAGTGCTAAAAATCAGGAGGCTACTATAAGAGTGAATTGAGAAAGTTTATAAAACGTGCTTATAATGGAATCTGGGGATTAGTAAACACTATAAAATTGAGCAACTATTATTGAAGGTACAGACCGTGAGGACTAAGAGCATAGATTTAAAAATCAATGATTTCTGCCCTGGCTGGTAGCTCAGCTGGTTAGAGCATCAGCCCGATACGCCAAGGTTGTGGGTTTGATCTCTGGTCAGGGCACAAGCAGGAGTCAATCATGAATGCAGAAGTGAGTGGATCAACAAACCCATGCTTCTCGCTCTCTTCTTCTCACTCTAATCAATAAACTTAAAAAAATCAGTGATTTCTGATTATGATTATTGTGATGTTTAATTCAAAGTCATGATCTAACGCAGATATTAGGTAGTTGTCTTAAGTATACAGGCTGTACCAAAACCATGTATACAAACTTTATCAGCTGATATTTCAAGTGATGTTTCTTTCTTTTCAGACAAAGTTTTGAACAAAGGAATTCATCCTAAAATTCTACTGGAAGCTTGAAAACGCAGTTGAAGTACAAACACTGCTGTATAATTATTCAGAGTGTGTATACCCTGTGTCACCCCCAAATCGTATACACATTTTAATAGCAGATAACTCACTT